ACACACACACACACACACACACACACACACACACACACACACACACAGAGCAGCATGTTAGGTACTCAGACACAGCTGTGGAAGGACTCCACAACAATACAGGCTCTCTCAGACATGTAATAATCAGACTGCTTTAAGTATTGGCTTTAGTACACAAACACTGCATGAATGAATGAATGAATGAAATTTATTTATAGAGCGCTTTTGACAGACATAACATCACAAAGTGCTTAACAGAGCAGAAATTTAAAAGCATAAAAAACACAATGTGACCCTAGTGTCAATAAATTACATACACAGAGAAAAATAAACTAAAAAATAAAAAATAAAAGAATAAAAATTAAAACATTTTAAGAGCAGGTCTAGGACATGGGTTTTTACTCAAACGCCAGCCTAAAAAGGTGGGTTTTGAGCTGTTTTTTAAAAGTATTCACAGTATCTGCGAGGCGTAGAGTTGCAGGCAGAGCATTCCAGAGCCTCGGCGCCACTGCCTCAAAGGCTCTGTCACCACGGGTCTTAAATCGTGTGCGTGGAACTGACAGAAGACCTAGAGCGTTTGACCTGAGAGTGCGGGCAGGTGAATTTGGGTGAAGTAGATCAGCTACATAAGTAGGAGCCTGACCGTGAAGTGCTCTGTAAGTGATGGTGAGAATTTTGAAGTGTATCCTAGATGCTACAGGGAGCCAGTGGAGAGATCGGAGTATGGGGGTGATGTGAGACCGTCGATTTGTCCTGGTGAGTAATCTGGCGGCAGCGTTTTGAATTACCTGCAGACGGTTAAGAGCAGATACACTGAGTGATGTGAAAAGTGAGTTACAGTAGTCGATGCGAGAAGAGATAAATGTAGGATACATTCTAACTTTTTATAATCGGTCCCAAAGGTAACAGATAAAGGGAAAATAACAGAGGCCCCAGAACCAAGCCCTGCGGTACGCCACAAGACAGTGAAGAGGTAACAGACACAAAATCACTCACAGAGACATTGAAACTTCTGTCATTGCGGTAAGACGTGAACCAGTCTAACGCTATGCCAGATATGCCAACCCAATCACGTAGCCTCTTAATCAGGATGTTATGGTCTACAGTGTCGAATGCAGAACTGAGGTCCAGAAGAACTAGCACAGAGCAGTCACCTGCATCAGAACACATGAGAATGTCATTTGAAACCCTCAGGAGAGCGGTTTCAGTAGAGTGTTGTCTGCGAAACCCAGACTGGAATTCGTCGTACATGTTGTGCCTCTCCAGTGTAGCAGTTAGTTGTTTGGCCACCACTTTCTCTAAAATTTTGGACAGGAAAGGCAGTTTTGATATGGGCCTGTAGTTCATGGGCAAAGCTGGATCTAAGTTTGGTTTCTTTAATATGGGCTGGATAGTGGCATGTTTAAAATAGGAAGGGACAATTCCTGTAGACAATGAGGAATTGACAATAGATGTTACTGCAGGGCCAATAATTAGCAAAACTTTCTTAAATAGAGAGGTCGGTATTATATCGAAAGGGGAAGATGATGGCTTTGTTTTGTTAATTAAGTCCATCAGGTCTTGAAGGCTGATAGGCTGGAAAGAGTCCAGAACAGTAGGAGATTGCGAGGAGCTACATGTAGATGAACAAATCCCAGGCCGAATGCCAGACCTAATACCTGTTACCTTATCATTGAAATAGGTAAGGAATTTGTTGCAATCGTCAACAGAACAGCATGGCAATGTAGAGACAGACGGTGAAACAATTCTCTTAATTGTGTCAAACAAAATCTTGGGATTTCTCTTTGAGGAAGAGATTAAGTTGGCAAAATAAGCAGTTCTAGCTTCCTTTACTCCAGTATTAAAGGAAACTCTGAGGTCTTTGAGATATGAGCGATGCACTTCTAGCCCAGTGGCTTTCCAGAGCCGCTCTGTCCTGCGACACTTCTGTCTCAGGCTGCAGACAGCGACTGTCATCCATGGAGAAGTGTTGTAGGCAGCCCTGGTCCTTTCCTTAAGAGGTGCCACTTTATCCAGCAAAGTGGTGCAATGTTCATTAAAAGACTGTATCAAGAGGTCAACATCATTGAGATTTGTGTTAATATTGCAGCAGAAGTGCATAGAGAACTGATCAGCTGTACTCTGGGTGATAATGCGGGAGTGGAATGTTTGTTTCAGACACAAGGGGTCAGCATTGACAGAAAGATCAAAGAAAATATATTTATGGTCACTGATCAGTAGGTCCTCACATCAGGTATTATCAATAGCAAGACCCAGAGAGAACACAAGGTCCAAGGTGTGACCACCCCTGTGAGTGGCGCCAGAAACATGTTGCGTGAAATTAAAAGATTCAGTAATATTGAGAAACTCAGTGGCACTGTAGTCTGTGGTATCATTGATATGCAGATTAAAATCACCAACCAGAAGCACTTTGTCTAGCTTGATAATAGAGGTCAGAAAGTCTGTGAACTCTGATAAAAACTGACCTGCAGGACCTGGAGGTCGGTAAATTAAAAAACAGTAAAACGGCTTTAGCCGGCCCACTTTAGTCAGCTGTAGTTCAAAAGTAGCAAAGGATTCTGTGCTCCCCAATTGGCAGGAAAACTGATTCTTCCAGACCAGGGTGAGACCTCCACCGCGGCCTGTCAAACGCGGTGTCCCAACAAAAGTCCACAGGGCAGAGTTCATTCAAACGGATGCATTCCATATTCTGTTGCCAGGTCTCAGTCAGAAATAAAAAAGCCAAATTATGACTTGTGAACAAGTTACTTAAAATGTGTGCCTTGTTTGTTACAGAGCGTGCATTAATCAGACACATTTTGATGGGGGAAGACACTGTGTCGTCATCAGCACAGGAAGCTTTGGGGGTATGTGCAATAGGACGGATCACTTGTGCAACACCTCGAACCCGACCATAACTAGGACGTGAGCGCAAGTCTGTGATTCTCACGGGAATGTTCATGGGTTGTGGAGTGGAAGTTACAGTAGAGGCAAGGGAAAGAGTAGTAGGAGACCCTCCATGCCGCCAGGGGGAGGTAGTGTTGCTTGTAGGGGATGAATGTGGCTGATGAATGAACGTAGAGGAGGAGTGACAGAGGACAGGGGATCCAGGATCATGTATGCCAGGTATATATATATATATATATAGATATATATATATATATGCATATATGCATATATCTATATATTTATATATATATATATATATATATTATGTACGCATGTAGTTAATGCTGCATCTATACACATTTATATCTAAATAACAAATAACACAATATGATATTATGACAGAGTTGATTATCATTAAATACAAATGGTAGTGTCACAAAAGAGATGTTATATGACCTGCTACATTATTGGTGCACTAACCCTGGTTTTGATCCATTGATATGGATCATCTTTACTACAAAGAGCACTGCCTTATTGATTGAGTCTTAACTCTAGCATCTTCTTCGGACAATGCTATGATTACATTTTCAACCATACCTGAAAACAGGCAGATTCACTTTATTTACCAAAGAACATGTAGAGAGAACAGTTATTTTTCAAAGCCTTGAACACTGTATGCAGATCTTCCCGTCAGGCTGCACACGACTCTTAAAAAGCCGATTGTAAAACTTAATTGCTGTGAGCCAGGCAGCAACCTCCTGTTCTGAAAAGTGAAGTCAATGCTGAAGTGCTTTAAATCTGCATTCTTTCTAATGGCCATCAGGGGGCATCAGGGGTCCCATTTAGAGTCAAAACAGACCATGAAGCAGGGTATACTTTAGGGCGGGGCTACCTTGTGATTGACAGGTCTACCACAGCGTTGTCTGTATTTTAATTTTTCCAACTTTAACTCTTTCATAGAGTGTTTTCACTTCATGAGAGTTAGTTGTAACACTGTGGTCCTCAAAATATCTTACTCAGCATTTAGTTGTACTTAGCTCCACCCTCTAGTGTCACTTCTGGCAGCAAAAAGACAAGATGGCGACGGCTAAAATGCCAAACTCGAGACTTCAAAACAGTAGTCCACAAATCAGTGACGTCCTTGTGACTTGGTCCACTTCTTACATTCAGTCTGTCTGTGAGCGTGGGTAATAACTGAAGGTGACCCAGATGATGTCAACCTTTTCATCCACGGCTCTCGGCTCATCTGGATCTTAGCAGCTGGACAGTTAATCTTTGGACAAACCCGGAGACTATCTGAATCTTTACAATCACATATGATTTCATCTGATGACTATCGACTCCCAGTCACACTGGAAGAGGATTTGGAAAACTGACGGGAGCATGTCCTCCAGAGAGGGAAGAGTCTGGCAGAAAGTAATTACAGTGGATTAGAGAGGAAGTTCCTGTACCTGTATCTCTTCCTCATGTTAGACAGGCGGTTTAGGGAGATGTGATCCAGAGGAGCAGTACCGCACCTGCACACAAGTAAGAAATAAAGACAAAAGCATACATTACACTCCAGTGGTACATGATGCCAGTTAGTGGCTGCTAATCACAGTCCCCCCTTTATGGACAAATAAAATGTTGGTACTTCACCACAGTTCTCACAAACTGTTCCGTGAAGAGAACGTTAGTTCTTCAAAGAGTGATGTTGGTCTCTATTCCAGTGCTATTATACAATCAGTACATTTCCCACTGAATCACATGGCACACACTGCAGTGTAGAGGACATCGGCCCGTGTTAAAACACCACCGAGAAAGAATAATGGTCCCTTTCTTCATGGTCTAGTTTCATAGCTGAGGGTAATCCAATTCAAATCATTCATACATTAAAACCATAAGAATGGTGTAAGTAGCAAAAAAAAGGTCTTTATATTGTTGAAAGGATTCATTTTTTAATCTTCTTTCTCTCAACAGAAGTGAAATGTTCAATGTTCAATGTTCCAACCCTAATACAAATAATCAGTCAAATTGAGAACACCTTAAAGGGCCAGTGTGTAGCATATAGGGGGATGTATTGACAGGAGCAGAATATAGTATTCATAACTATGTTTTTATTAGTGTATAATCACCTGAAACTACACGTCATTGTGTTTCCGTTAACTTAGACTAAGCCCTTTATATCTTCATAGGGAGCGGGTCCTCTTCCATGAGTCATCCATGTCTATTCAGCAGCCCAGAACTGACAAACCAAACTCTGGTTCTAGAGAGATCCTTTCATGTTGTTATATTAGGAGGCCACCGTAGATCTCAAACACGCTTGAGAAACCAGTGAGTCACCGAGTGCGAGCCTGTGGCACCGCTAGCCACCGCCTGACTCCGTTGCTCCTAAAGTAGGCGGTACTATGGTTCTGCACTCAGCAGCTAGCGTTACGACAGTCTTCGAAAGGGAAGAGTGAGCTGAGGGAGATTGAGTTGGTTGCAATCTGCAATCCCACCACTAGGTGTCCCTAAATCCTGGGCACTGTCCCTTTAAAGAGTAAGGTAGTGGTATTATTCCAAAGAAAAGTCTTGTGATATCCTGAACTTCAACATAAAGAGCAATTTTTATTGCATAGGTTAGATAGCGGCATTGGGATATCCAACATATATGTGCTGTCAAAATAATGGTGAGATATTTTACATGCATGAACCGTTCGTGTTTTGTTGTCGTCGGACGGGTTAAAAACTTGTCTGGATAAAAGGTTATCATGTAGTTTCTATTCCAATACTCTACTAACACATGCTAATAAACTTGAATCAAGTGTGTCCTCCAAACCTTTCCGAAAGACACAGCATTCACAGTAATGAATCCGAGCAGCATGGCGGCAAGTCAAAAATATATAGAACCGTCTTTTACAAGTTTGTAAAGTGGAAGGAAGCAGCTCAGTCAGTCAGGTGGGGATGTGAGGGGGAAGGTCACCACACAACAGTTTGATCACCACCAGCTGGACTTTGTTTACTCAGAATGGTCTGATTCAAGTTAAAGCAAGTTTAAAGGTTCTATATATGCTATTTAAAACATTAATGTACCATCCAACAACTATGGCCTATGTGTAGATATAGAGGTGTAATGTCTACCTGAGCAGAGCATGAAGTCTCCTTCTGTGTGTGTTCTTATCAGAGCTTCTCTGTGCATGTTAGTGCATGTGAGCGTGCCCCACTGGTTAGCTCTCATGCGGCGGTAACAGCTGATGATGCCGCCCCGACCCAAGGCATCGTCGTGGAAGAGTAGCACCCACCGTCCGATTAGCACTGTTAGCTGCAAGCCGCTAGCTCAGCCGTCGCCATGTTGACAGCAGTATGGAGGCAATAGATATGCTCTGAATTTTGAACTTAGGAACTTTAAATGGCAGGGACTCAAAGTATGAATTTGACCACAACAGCTGGAACTCAGATGAACTTCATCAGGGCTATCACTACATTATTATCAAGAATGCTCATAACGATTTTCGAGAACCCAGTGTGGCTCAACGAAATTGCTTGTTTTAACAAAACATTAGTTCAAATCCCAAAGATATTCAGTTTACTATCATAAGTAGTATGTTTACTGTATCTGGCTACCAACTCCACTACAGTTGGACAGAGGACAATTTCACACTAACCACAAAGAGAGTCGCCAAGTGTGTGGCAGCACAGTGCTGCAGTAGATCAAGCAACAAACAGAAAAGAAGAGCGAGGTCGACATACAGTTTACAGACAAGGCTTTCCATGACAGCCTCGCCTACACATGAGCTCCACAAATAGGACCTGCTTGTTATTGTTAATGATACTGAATCTTATGCAGTTTACCAGACATTGGCAGATAGAACAAAAACTGAACCCTGGCTATATGTGACAAAGGAAACTTTTCAAATCCTCATATTTGAGAATGGAACCAGCAAATATGTCGATTTAATGGATGAATATTACCAGCTCCTAATTGTAATCATGTTTATATTGTATATACGTCTGTACAGTAGTGGTGGCAGTCGCCTGAAGCATGAGTTAGAGACTACTAGTGGTGTAACGGACATTGTTATGATGTGTTCAATGTTTCACAGTAATCTACAATATATTAGAGATGAATTATGAGCTGTTTAACTAGCTCTAAGCAGCTTAGAATACATCATAAACACTAATGACAAGATTTGTTTTACTCAATAAAAATGCAATCTTTTATATCTTAATCTTTTGAATTGAACTGTACTATAGATGACTTTAACAAAGTAAAAAGATTGTTGACGCTTTACGCTGAGAGTTGAAATGATTTTTAGGACAGTGAAAATAATAGTCAGGAGCCTTTTGAATCAGCTGCTATAACAAAACATCAACAACAAAAATGCGATCAATGCATCTCAATACCATTATATGTGTTATATTGACTATATTGCGTCCCTCGTGACTACATTCTGCCAATGTCTGGTCAGGGCAGTATATGTCCTACATGGTATCCCTACTCAGTGTGTAGAGTCAAACAGTGCAGTTTGAACAGTGGAGGCAGCCATTGCTCCAGCTGAACCTTTAAGGGCCGTGGTAAACAGTCAGAGGGTGTTTTTCTCGTGGCTGAACATTATATAAGCCGGCCTTGAACCTCATAATGGCTTCCCTAAAATGCGCTGAGGTGGTTGCGTTTCACTGTTTGCTTGCAGTTTCTCCCGGTGTCTCAGCAGCATGTTGTTTAAATTATGTAGAGCCTAGAATAGCAACAGAACAGAAGAACATGCCAAGCCAACAACAACTCCTAACAGCGTGCCGCGCTGAGGCTCTCGTGCAACCAGCAGGCCTTTGTGATAGATCCAGACAAAACAAGTCTACAGCCAGCACGTCAGCAACTAAATGGGAAAGGTGTGTTATTTGGTTAAACTAACATGAGCTCGTACGATCCCGCGGGACAGTCACAGCTGCTTTGATGTAGTTTGTAGCCAATGAGTAAAGGGCCAAACTGTGAGACCCTGACATCATAGAGCACACGGAACAAGACACATTTAGCAAGAGACTGGGTTTGTAAAGATGTTAGAATAAAGATAGCACAACTATATGTGACACATGGAAACATCAGTCATCTCCCAGCAGCCTCTAGGGAGTATAAATATTCATGCTGGATAGTCAGCATAGAACGGCACGTTACTTGAGGTTCATGTGGTGTTTGCTCCTCTAAAATGCAGGAATGAGTCACACGTTAGTGCTGTTTGGCATTAAGGAGCTGGTGTGTGCACACTGTCACAACTGTCAGCTAAAAGCTGCTGTTGCAGAACACAAGTTTTGTTGTCAAGCACATTTGAACTCTATTACTTCAAGTACAAGCCATGGACACAATACAGGCTCCGTTTAAAGCAGAGCCATTAACACCTCATCCAGCCATCACTTATAACCCATGTAAGAATTGGAATGGATCCCACAAACTCCTAACATACTAGATATGTCAGTTTGTAATTTTAGGAAATTGGTTGTTGTTGTTGTGTTTGTACAAGACTGAACGTTTATGAAGTAATCTTACCACAAGGTCCATTAGTAGTTCTGTTCTGGAGCATTCCTCCTGAGCGCTTTAAGGACTTCTCCTCTATGTTAAGCCAACATGTAGAAGTCCTTAAAGCAGCTATAACTGATATTTCCATAATAACAATGATGTATATGTTACAGTTTGTGAATGTCAAACATTATTTGGACGCTGCGGTGGATGATTCAGATATTGATGTGGTCAAATGAAGTTATCGCTCCTCCTTCTTTATCATGGTTGAAGTGCTTTGTTTTGAACCAGTACGCTGAGTACTTGGATCAAGTAGCTCCTGAACACACATATGTACATTGCTACTTTTTAACTCCGTTAGTATCTCACATCTAGTTTCCTCCTGTGTCTCTGACTCACTCTGATAGCTCTAAACAGGCCTTCATATTATGATTAATTGTGTGTATAATAGCCTGAACACCACAATCAATCAAAATAGATTGTGGTGTATGTGTGTGTGTGTGTGTGTGTGTGTGTGTGTGGGGGGGGCTAATTGGAAGCAGCTCAGCAGGACTCCTGAATGAAAGAAACAAAACTGCCACTCATGTCTTTGTTAAGGTTTAAAGGCTGTCACTTTGTGAGCTCCATCGCTCTGACTGGCTGCCACGTTACAGCAGCTCCTGCTGTTTCAGCTCGTCTGTAGGCCAACTGACTCACATCTACTGTTTGAAAGCAGATGTGTGCTTATATCAGAGGCTCCATTTGTTTTCAACATGCTTCAATTCAGATACACCTCGTTCATTTGACTGAGCCTTTATCTACATTTGGTGGAGAACAAGAGTGACCTTTACGGGCAAACCCATCTAAGGAACTCACAAAGTCAAATCTGATTGGTCAAGTCTTGCCTATTGTTGACTGATCGGCAAATCATATTTCTTGCTCATTTATCCATGTTCTCATTAGCTACATTGGCTGTGTTCACACTCTTTCTTTGAATCGTCAAAGAGTCGAGTGTCTCTGAGCCAGCTCTGGTCTCTGAGCCAAGAAATGTCCTGCAGAGGCTGGAGGAGGACACAGAGGGACGGCTCAGTGAGACAGGATGGGCCTCAAACTGACCTGCACTGCTATGCTACCCCCGACATTCCAGGATGTTCCATGCAGGTACGCGCGCACACACACACACACACACACACACACACACACACACACACACACACACACACACACACACATCTCAAGAGTGTACTCAAGTTCTGCATGCAGAACCAAGATTATATGCGTTTTAAGGAATTGTAAAACGTACCAAGCCAAATTAAACCAACAGGACTTGTGAAATATTTGTGAAATAAAAACTAGTGTAATACTATTGGACTTCAATTATGTGACTGGACTGATACATTTCATAACGTTGCATTACTGAAATTCTGAAGTTTTGTAAGTTTATGAGATTGAACAACACAAGATGATGTAAGACCTGCTCATGACAGCTAGTTGTGGATGGACTGCTCACTGTTCGCCTGAGTCAGCAAAACCAAGTCAGCGGACACAAATAACAACACGCAGTCACACACACCTCATGCGGCAGATGAAGGACCGTCGGGAGCCCATGCACATCCTCATGGAGGACTGCTGGCCCTCCTTCTTCACTGTTCCTGTCTTCAGGTCCAGAATCCGCCCTGTTGACACACAAACAGCAGATCACATTAAAATACCATGAACATGTAGACCAGTAAATACATTTACAACAAACAGACGCTACTTCTTATAACCTGTATTCTTATAAGCAAACCTGAAGCAGGAGCAGAGGACCTGTATGTGTCTACTGAGACTCACACAGACTCACCGGTTCACTCTATGATCACAGCTCAATGGTTGTGGCTTTAACCTGTGGACATGTGATCACACTGTCTAACACAGCAGGAGGCCAACCTGAGGCTGTGCAGCGTAACACACAATAATCAACGACGAGAAAATTATTTCAGATTCAAATAGTTTATCTCTTCGCCTTTTGGCTGCACCTGTTGTTTGGCTGATATTTGTGCTTTTAGCTAACAAAGAACAAAGATAATTGTCTGGGGATCATGTACATAGCTAGCGTCATGGTCACGGTCATGTCAGTTGTAAAGAGGTCGCTGTGGACAGCGGCAGCTTCTCACCGCCACATCAGTGTGGAGTTCCTGTAACCAAACCTGTTCAGAAATCATTTACATGTCCCTGAATCGGAATAGATTCAGGGGAATGTGTTCCTTCAATAACTAAAGTCAGTCCACAATATTATCACACTGCATCATATCCATCATATCAGAAGTGGTGTTTTAATGAACTTATAGGCCTGATTTATCAGACTGTGACTAACATCCAACTGTGTGAGAGTTGTTTCCTCAAGCAATCCTATTTACTGGCATTGAGACATTCCTGCGGAGGCCCAAAGAGACAGCTGATAAGTGGAGCAGCCAGAGGAAACCTGCTCCAACACAGAGTTCACACTGACCCTCAACGTCTTGATTTGGTGTTACACTTTTGAACAACACCTTCCTGCACTGAGGTGGTGACAAATCACTTCATACCTGGCACTTCTTGTGAATCCAATTAGTCAAACTATTTCTCATTTAGGCTTGATCCTTGATCACATGGTTACAGTGGTTTGTTTGGAGTAGAACCTACATTCATGTTGAGAAAAGGAAGGGGAGACCCCACAGCTGGCCTTTGTAACTATAACCCGTCTCCATCATCATTAGAACAGGACTGATAATCTGCAGATGGAAAGGGAATTCTTCATATCTTGCATGTATGAAGGTGATGAAGGAGAGCAGGCTGATGAGCATGGTAAACACATGACAGACCACATTACATCTTCAACAACTAGCCCAAAGAGCAACAAGCACATGCCATTCTCTCCCACTCAAACTGTTTTCCACCTGCATGACTTTGCATGCTGGGAGTAAGAACTGTCCTCGTGTCCGGCTCAGAATGAATGTTGTATTATATATACGTATATCGAGCAGCCGCTGCTTTGACTTTGACCACATTAGGGATTGTCACATTAGAAGTTGAAAATCACAGATGAACCATTTGCTGTATAATAAAGTTATTAGGATCATTACTTAACAGCAATGTTGTTTTTAACCAAAGGAATGAACAAGCCTTCCACTCACAGTGGGGAAAACATTCCAGCAACTCTGAAGCTCCGACCAGAGAACGTGAGAGCTGATGTGCCAGATGTTCAGCCGGACTGGAGCCGTTTATGCGTTTGGAAATTCAGAAAGATAGAAATAAATTCCCTGCTGTAACCGGAATATCACTCCATCCCACCACACAGACGTTCTAAAGTAAGCAGTCCCACGTGGATGGAGGTTCTTCTCTGAGCACACCTTCTGAAAGTCTTTCTTTACTTTCATTATCAGTGGGTCCAACCAGAGAAGTGCTATTATTCTCAACAGCAGTTCAACAGTTTGGGTAGAACACATATTCCCTTGCTTGCTGAGAATCTCATGTTTGTGTCTGTGATCCCAGTAAATGGATCACACTCTTCAGAATTCCCACAAAGAACTACAGACAGCAACAACTGGTGTTCCGTCTCATTCAAGTTGTTCAGTCCTCCACATCAGCTACAGGCTCACAGCGAAGTAGAACCAGTGAGCAGCAGCAGCAGGAGGAGACATACTGCTTTAGTTCCACTGAATGAAACCCGGAGAAATGCTGGGACTTCAAAGGCTGCGTATGTGCTTGTGAATGTGCGCATGCTCGTGTGTATATTTTCTTCTGTCACAGCTCTACATAGAGATTAGTGTGTTATGTGGATTACTCTGGGGTCATCTGGACGGACTGACGGACACACTGAGATACTGTGGAGCCTGCAGAGGACCATGCAGAGGAAGACAATGCTGCCCTCTGGTGAGCACCATGAGCATGTGGGACATAGAAGAGTAGTGTGGGATGTCAGAGAACGATTGAGGGTAAGATGGTTCCTGCCTGTTGAAATGACAAAGAATGAACAGTGAGCGTGTGTTACTGTATGAGTGTCTACCTTTGGTAGACATTTCTTGAGATGAGACAGGAAGTCTAAACTAGGATAGGACACAGCCATGACAAGCTAAGAACAGACTGTTGTGAGCCACACGGCTCTGTTAGTACGATGGTTCGTACTGCACTGAGCTGTGGCACGGGGCTGCTGTTGAGAAATGAGTCCATGTTGGGTTCTTTCTGATTCATATGAATAGACATTAACATGTTGGAAGATATCATTTATCAGGACTTGAGTTTTCTTATTTATAATTTCATTTTGTAGTAATAGTATATATCGTCTTTATTCACTCTGGGTTTCCTCTGTTGTGTTGCGGCCTTTAGATTTTGAGTTCCACATGAGGTTGGTGTTCCTTTTCTTCTTTCTTCTTATAAACAGAGCATGAAGCTATTGTTCCTCCTCATACTGCCGCTCCTGTTTCTCTGCCCATCCATGTACAAGCTGCCCACTTTTGCATCGTTTTTCTTCATCAGCTATTTTTCGGATTGGTAATAGTTGTTGGTGTCGTTCTAGGATACTGATTGTTGAGCCCGGTCCTTTCCGCCATCTCCTTGTTGTTGAACTCGGTACTTTTGTTTTTCACTGAAATATCGCTACGATGGGCCAGATGTTGACTGTCTGTGCAGGTAGTTTGAGCTGTGTGGTCATGAATCCATTACTGATGTTTTGAGGTTTGTTCAGGACGGCTAGTGAAAAGTAGATAGTCTCTCCTGCTGCATGCTTGTAAGGTACGTCCAGAATAGTCTCTTTCCTGTTTTAGTTTTCAGTGGCATCACAGTACTGACCCTCGTTAGACATACGGCTTCTCTGCCGTCTGTGACAGTGATGGAGCTCTTTCACAGAAGACATGTTGGTACGTCATTGCAGGAAAAGCCCAGGTGTAACTACCAACATGAAAAGGCTGCTTTTAGGGGGCGGGGCTTTGCAAACCAATAATTAACAACAGCAGTTGTATTTGTAGTGAGAGTACTTCCTCTACCTGTCATGGAGTTTTCTGAAGTACTGAGCTGTTCCCTCAGCTTGTCCACATCGTCAGGGTGGACCTGTTCATACAGAGTGCTGCCAAACCACTCTGCCTGGGGATGGTTCAGCACCGGCGCCACCGAGTCCGACACGTATATCACCCGACCCGTCTCCGCAGCAACCACAAACAGGAAGCCGTCCGCCGCCTCCAGGATCAGATGCTTCAGTTCCTACAGGGAGCAGAAGGCTACATGAGCTCACAGACATAAACACACTACCAGATAGGTCCAAAGACATGTGCACTGATGAAACACTGGACTAGTGTTAAGGATCTGTTCTACAAGAAGGAGGGAACTGAGATCTGTTTACATCAACTCACATTAAGAGGCAGAGTTCAAAAGTAATGAATAATAATCAGCTGTATGCTGCTTTACATGCAGCCAATCGGTTGCATTTTGAATCATTTCTGTTGAGTGTGCGAGATAAATATCTCGTGGTTGCATTCATGCAAGTGCCCGATGATCATTACAGAGTGGAGACACGAGCCGCTGTCTATTCCATCTCCAGCTCCACAGTCCAAAGGAGCGTTGTGCTTTGTGCTCCTTTGCATGGATGCTTAACCACTGACTAAAGAAACACCGTACATAGCGACAGAAACCATTACGAAACAATCCGTTTAGTGGTTAGCGTGTTCCACCAATAGGACATCTATACTGGAATGAGCAGAGGTTAGGGACACCGTAACATGTCCTTTAGCTTAGGGACACCGTAACATGTCCTTCAGTTTAGGGACACCGTAACATGTCCTTTAGTTTAGGGACACCGTAACATGTCCTTTAGCTTAGGGACACCGTAACATGTCCTTTAGCTTAGGGACACCGTAACATGTCCTTTAGCTTAGGGACACCGTAACATGTCCTTTAGCTCATGTCCTTTAGCTTAGGGACACCGTAACATGTCCTTTAGCTTAGGGACACTGTAACATGTCCTTTAGCTTAGGGACACTGTAACATGTCCTTTTACCTCTCATGAAATAACAGTAAATCTTTACTTATTGGTGAACTTAATAAACTGTGATATTAATGTAATGTTTAGTGATCCCAAACTGGAGAATATTGTCTGCTGTATGTATGGCAGGTGAATACAGGTGTAGGTTCACTTCTTTAACTTTACCTGAAAAAATAAGTTCAGTCAGATCCAATCAAATAAAAGAGCGTGTCAGCGTATTTCATCATTATTTCGTTACTTACTACTCAAGTCGCTTTTTTTCAGTAAATACTTTTGTATTCTTACTTTCCACCACTGATTAATACAATTTAAGATTAATACTGCAGACAAACATCAGTGTGGATCTAATCACTAATTAGCCATAGTTACTAACAAGAGGAAGAGGCCTATGGCATTGAGTTTCCTTGGTTATAAGTCACTGCACATGCAGGTGACGCAGTGATGACTGCAGCCTGAGTTTGAAAATATCTCAAAGCAGAATGATCCCAAATAGCATTTGTAACAAAGAAAAGTAATCCCACATTATGCATTATGCATCAATATTAATTATTAAGAGTTTTTCTCAGAAGGATAGTGATGTCTGTTGTGTGTATACGATGTGTGTGTGTGTGTGTTTGCGCGTGCGTGCGTGCGTGTCCAGCGGAGGAGATCGATACAGACGAGACAAAGCAGGTCTTTTATCTTATATCTTGCTTTAGGCTTTATTCATGTGTTTATAGGCCTCATATGAGCAAATCATTTTTATAGGCTATCGCTGTAATTTATCACTGAATGTATTTCATTGAAAAGGAAAATCTTTAAAGTTAGATTTTTGTCATCAATTCTCATTCGATAATAACAGCAAAGAAAATAACAATAGAAGTAAGGCAGGTTTGAGCAAAGTTGGAGAGCTAGTGTACCCAGAATGCTCCACATGGAGCGGGTTCTAACTCCGACACAACCTGCCATTCTGAGAAGAAACCTCTTCTAGCAGCTGAAGAGCTGACTGAGGTCAGTTCCTCTCCAGATGGCCCTGAGCATTCCCACAGCTATTTTGTAAGAATAACTTTGTAGAAATGAGTTTTTTCTTTGACATTGAAGTACTGACAACGTCTGTGATTCAATGTAGTCAAGAAATAAAACTAGAAACAAGGATGTGTTTGTTTTATATGTCCTGGGTCTGCCAGTACCTGTTCAGTGAGGAAGGAGGGCTTATAGGCCCCATCAGTGGACGTGTTGCCAGTGCCCCTCATGGATTTCATATGGGAGACAGCCATACGCAGGATGGTCAGTTTGTCAGGCTTCCGGGCCAGGGCGCTGCAGGTAGGGACCATGTCTGACAGCTCGGTGATGTACTGGGTCATTTTGTTGCGCCGGCGTCGCTCTATCTCACTGTGGTTCTCTCTAAAACAGAGAAAATGCAGTTTGACACTTGGAGAGTACACTGTAACCTCTAGCCAGCCCCGCTGATGCATCGGATCATGATTACTCTCCAGACCTTTGACTGTGCTTTACATCGCCAATGTCCCTCAACCTACCATCTGTTTTAGCATAAACTGAAATGCTAGAGGAAGGATTTTACCACTAAATCAACTAAATCACACTTTTAACAAGTGATGGTATATTGCCTGGAATCTGTAATAGATTGTTGGGATCAACCTTTTGGTTGAACGAATGATGAGCTTGCTAACTACTCACTATTCAAGTTGAAGATGCATATCTGCTTTGAGTGCTTATCAACGCAGGTCAGCCAGAAAGGTCTTTGATGAGAAATTGACTTTGACTGAGGAGAATATCCTTCAGACAGCTGGAGGGACTCTGTATCTGTGAGGTGAAACCCAAGTATCTCAGTGTGAGACAAAGTACCCTTCAGACTCATTAATATCTCATTGACACGATTCACTGACACCACTCGTGTTTTCTGGTCTTTTTCTTTGACTGCATCAATGTTTCTTTCAGGGGATGTGTCTAATTGCTGGTGTTTGACACTGTGGGTGTTTTAGTGATGCTTCAAGTGATAAACTGAGTTTATGATATTTCCTGTCATTATTGACACAGATGTTTGGCAGACGAACATCATTATTCTTTCTTTTAGGACTGCCTCATCCACTTTGTGTCCACAAAGGGCTTAGAGGGGACTCATCATGCTCATTTTCACATCCTGTTGTATTTTGGGTTTAAACTGGTTTTTTTCATACTGGCTGTGTGAATATACCTGTATTCTTCTTCTGTTTGAAACGCTCCGTTTTAACACCTGTTTCTTTAAGACTCCCTACAAAAAAAGGCTCAGTCTGCTCTGATTGGCTTGTGAGAAAATACGGTGCAAAAGTAGTTCCCAAACTGTTGGCAGTATATTTTAATGAACCTGATGTGACATAGGAAGGGGAGCCAGATCTGATTGGCTTGTTGAATCACATGTTTTCTGTCTAGACAGCCCACAAAAAACAGGATGTGTCCCCTTTAAGTAGTCAATGCATCAACACACCAGATGTCCTTGTTTCCTTGTATAGCTCTTTCCAGCTGTTGTTTTCGGTGGCCATGCTCAGCTCTCCTGTCTATGTGACATCTGAAATAAACCAACTCCGCTGTGCCTAGTTTGAAAAGTGGGCCGTTACCACAAGACAGAGAAAGAGCTTCCTTTCTGTGATATATTATATTGTCAGTACCGCTGAGTGTTCCTGTCTGCCAGCTCTACTGACATATGCACACCTGCTGAGAGGAGTACTGCCCACCACAGTGGAACACTTTCTGTAGCCAGACATGTGATATTCAACATACTAACAAATACAATTGTTTCTAATATACCAATATTGACCCAATATCATTTTTTGGCACCAGTTGTTAGTATTTCCCTGTCTTCGGTCAGAACAGGTGTGTAGTGTGCAGGCTGTGCAGTCTGTTGAGCCCTGAGTCAAGGGAACATCCTCTGTGGCCACAGCTAGCTAAGCCTACCTGGCGAATCTCTCCTTATCCCCACCAGGAATCTCATCATCATCCTCATCATCATCATCATCATACCTACAGAGAAGAGAGGACACAGCATGTAACACAACGTACACACACAGGTAAACAGCTTCTCTGGCTATGTTCCTCACATGCAATGATTGTCACATATTAATGCATGAGAGTAGATGGTTCAAAGACTGATGGGAAAAACATGGGCCAAACTGAAGCAAACATACTGCTGTAACTGGTTAGGACATTTACACTACACTTACTGGACTTTATAGCATAGGTAATGTCCTACTTACAAACCTGGACACACTACAATGATTGAACCTAAAAGTAAGGCAGCAACATGGAACAAACACATATTATGATTATATATCATTATTATAATCATAGTAGGGTAATGGACATTTGGGGAAATACATGGTTTAACCAGTTACACCTGAGTTTAACTGGTTAAACATGTCTGATAGTTGCTGCCCTACAAGACTATAGAAGCAAAAGAATAGCAGCAGCAGTTTGAGTGTCAGAAGCAACTGAATGCCTCACTGTAACATCTTTCTGTGTGGATTTAATCAGAAGGATATTTCAATTTGACTAATTTGAATGTGAGCAAAACTTTCTGCTGAGGAAGGCCATGAGATGGGGGATTTCCACCAGTAGTAAAAGTAAGCATTACTATAGAATGCAAATAAGCTCTATTTTGCTTTCACCTGTCTATTCACATACAGGGACCCTAGTTTAAAAAGGATGTCAAAGGCAAATAGCCCGACATTGTAGCACAAAGTCTACTGAACCAAAGCTAGAATGTAGAGAAACTGTTCATTTACAGCCTGGAGCTTTCACACTGTCCTGGCTCAGCTGTCTTCATTCTTTAGCCTAAAAAGACCCAAACAGCCCAAAGACCTTCTCGTCCCTGTGCAGCTGTGCATCGCTGTGAGTCACACACTGAGAAGCACAGTGAACATAAGCTCCTGGCTAAGAGAATCAGCTAATCATTTCCTCTAACATATGTGCAAAGTGCATGTAGAGAGGCAAACCCTTCACAGTGACAATATGGAGCTTTCTTGTAGCCCAATAAATCATACATGTAATGCTACAGTCCATTATCAAGAGTGCAGTTCCTCCTGTGTTCAGCAGAGAGCAGCTCCTCCTCCTCACTGTCACCACTCAACAGAGATAAACCCACTGCTGTGTTGTCAGCTCAGAAATAAAGCACTTACTGTAATGCACATCCTACAGACTTACACTCTACACAACATGAGAAGAGAGAAAAGGAAAATAAATGAAACGTGAGGTCGGTTGAGATGCAGTGACAGAGAAACACTCGAGTCCCTCTTTAAAAGAAAAGACAGAACAGAGCACAAGATTTTGAATGGAAGGCGAAAAGCAGCAGTCAGTGGTACAAACAGAGGGTGTCTGCAGGGTTCTTTAACACCTTTTCATGTCTACCACCTGACATGCTGAGATCAATGTAAAACCAAAGAAGACTGGCGTTCCAGTTTGGTGACTTGCATTCATACTGTGCTACTTTAATATGCTCATGTCAGCTTTAATTGACCACATCTGCAGATACCCAGAAACAGGAAGTGAGTTTCCTCTGTGAACTCGTTCTCAAACATTCAGACAGGGCTGGTGCTTCCTGCTTTCTACGTGCTCACCTTGAAAATTTGCTCGGTCCCTCTCCGTCTTCGTCATCAAAGTCCATTCTGGGAAACAACCACAGGAAACATAGTGACTACTTCTGTTAGACTTGCCAGCTGATAGCGCTCTCTAGTGACTGCATCCCTGTGCCTTCTAGTACAGTGTGTGAACATGCACAGCAGTAACTGTAAACAGCTGGAGACGACTTCTTCCTCATTTGGTTCTGTTGTGTCTGCTGATGATTGAACCAATAGAAGAATGTGTGTATCAGGCCAACAGTTGATGACTCAGCATTACAGAGCCAATGCTCTCATCTCAACACCATCACCTCATTGCCCTTCCACTGTGATCTAGTCTCTGTGACACAGTTTGAATCAGTCATCTGTGACTATAGCTGAGGCGTCATGATGGTTAAAAAGCCGACATCGATGCATCTGAGAAAACAACTCAGGAGCTGGAATGAAGTCGACGTCTGATAAGAAAGGAATGGCAGCATCATTTGGTTCTGCAGTATTTTGAGGTAAATGCCTAGAAGAAGGTTATTATGTGTTGACACTGTTCAAAGAGCATCTCAGTGTAACAGCATGGTAGGCTGCAAAACCTACAGCACCACCTGACTGTAATGGAACCAGAAAGGGCTGATGCAAATGGATCCACATCCTGTTTCCATCTCTCAGCTCAAGTGCTAATTGTAAAACTACTCCTGAACCGAAACAAGTATTTCATCCTCTACTGCAGGAAGACTGATTCAGGTTCAGCCGTTGTCGACACAGTTTGAGTTTGAGGCATCCGGGCTGCCTTCGTCTTTAAAGGTGCCAGATCCGAGATTGGGGGCATTTCTATTGCCTTTTAACGGCTCTTAACGTGTCGATGCCGAGCCGGCGGCTCATAGCTAATGGTGCTAATGGTGCCAACGGTGCAAACAGCGGCAACAGTGTTGACAGAGCTATCAGTGTTTCCCTGAGGGTGGGCGCTACGCCTCCACGAGGATGCTGTAACGCTGTAGGAGAGCAGTGTAGAGCGGTGGCAGTGAGCTAACCAGCGGGACACGCTCACATGCACTAACATGTACTAACATGCACTAAAAGCTATATCAGGAGAAGCTCTGGTAACAACACACAGAGGGAAAGAGACTTCATTCTCTGCTCAGCTCGACATTACTCCCCTAGATCTTTACATGATACTTGTTGGCTGATATATTAATGTTCAGACTATACAGCTTCTCTGACATGACTCGGAGAAGCCAGCCGATGTATTCGCTCTCTAGTCACAGAACCTCGTTCAGTTCAGATTCTACAGGATTGGTGATGCTATTTCCAAAGCACTTTAGTGAAAGACGCTTTGTATGGACGACATGAACCGCTCCAGAACAAGTTAGATGTGCAGCATAAGTTAAAGCAGAGCCCCCTTAGTGACACTGAAAACTCTGACTCTAGGCTTATCTTACTGCTAACCCACTAGTCTTGCTTTGTAGTACACTCCTGTGGTTACACACACACACACACACACCTGTCTCTGCTCAGTTTGTATGCATGATCTACCTGATGGCTTGATGCACCATGTCAGCAGCAGTTTCTTTATGAGGGGGAATGGAGAGGATTATTTTGTCTGTTGTTGTCTTGGGGTCCTCCTACTTAACTACAACCTGGCTCACACACACACACACACACACACACACACACACACACACACACACACACACACACACACACACACACACACAGCTTCATAAATAAAGCAACAATGACAGAGACAAGAGGAGTCTCTGTTGTCTCCCTGTGCCATGTATATTTGGCATATTGCCTGGATCCAGTCCTGTATTATTTATTCATGTGTATGTAGGCCTAATGTCTGTGCATGGGTTAAATGCGTTGCTTTGGCCCCTGAGGATTAGATTCACAAGGTACTGAACTCATGTGCAGGGCCCCGTACGCTGCTTCTTCCACACTAATGCAGAACCAGAAAATGCCATTCACATGTCAAATGAGGTTCCATTCATTATGGAGATTGAGGTTGTTTTCCTGAAAACTATGCGTCCAAAGGGAAACACTTTAAGAAGTGGTTGCTGGGCTTTGCCCTTTCTTTTCCTGTTGACAGAAAAACATTGCATTAAATCCATTATCTGATGACGATGAGAAAGAAGAAAAGAAAGAAACATTCCTTTATTAGTTCCACAGTGGGGAAATTAATCTCTGCATTTGACCCATCCCTGTATATACGTATATAGGGAGCAGTGGGCTGCCAATGACAGGCGCCCGGGGAAGATGATCCCTTAACATCCCACAGACTTATCTCACTAAAGACCGTGAGGATGTGCTCCACCTGAAGCATGGTGGCAGAAAGGAACTGTCGAGAGTAGAGCTGCAACAAGTTGTCAAATAGTTTTGTCAGTCATCAGACAACTAATTGGCAACTAGTTTAATAAGTGACGTATTGTTTAAGTCTATTATCATGCAGAAACAAAGACAAATATTTGTTTTCATCTACAATGTGTCGGAGTTTTGGACATTTGGTCGGACAAAACAAGACATTTGAAGAAGTCACCTTGGGTTCAATAGAACCAACAATTAATCAATACATCAAAAATCTGGAAGTTATTGATATTGAAAATAATTGTTAGCTGCCTGCAACCCAAGTCTATGTCTACTTGCGTCCATCTGTTTGACTAGTTCTCTAATAAACTGAAGAAGGTTGTTGATCCCCGTGTTCTGTGGCAGCTATCACATGTGAGCTGACTCAGCGCAGTAGGACAGACGGACTCCATGCAGCGCAGGAACCTTTCCAGCTCATTTGTCCCTGATACAACAGATCATTGTATGTTCACACAACATCAGCTCAGGTTTGGGTCATTATCATGAAAGAAACCAGGTGTGTTGTAAAGGTGTGTTCCAGCACGTTGGTGGAAATGAACAGAAAGGTTTTCATTTGTGGTTGTTCTAGTGCACATCAGGACTTCTTACAGGGCAATTTGGAGAAAAGTGTGAATTGCAGGCAAATTGTAAAATGTTGTTTTTGTTGAGAAATTGTGTTTTTCGATGAAAGTTGAGCGCAGTAAACACCCAAATCAAGACTACATGAAGAGTATAACGCTACAGTAATCCCCAGAGTTCAGAGTAATGCTGGTTTTCCAGTGCTGGGGAGGCAGAGAACAACTGATCAGCCTCAACTGTCAAGTATTATTTTACCGATATAGATCTTTCTCAGTCTATCCTAACTGAACCAAATATACACGGCGGCCTATTTGAGAAACACATTTCCATATTCTAACTTTTTGATTTATTAATTTTTCCAAAACTTCCATGACTTTTCCTGGTTTTTCATAGCGTGCCAACCCTGTAATGCACAAGTGTTTGAAATTAAACTTTGTATCATTTGTATCATGATTTACCAAAAGAGTTTAGCAAAAGCTGTGAGTGGATGAAGAGGACACTTTACTGCTGTCTGTTCTCAATAACAGAAGAAACGGATCCTTTTCCTGCTGGGACAAACTGACACTGAACCATGACTCACAAACCGGAGAATGTAGCTATGACTCAGAAAAACAAAGTATGATTATTGAACTATTTGTTATACTTTTGGACAGAGTTCCCTGTCTTGGATAGTTGATGCAATACAGCAAAATGAAAGAGCAGTAAAGCAGAAGGAGCACAACATGAAAGATTGTAGCTAATACTTTGAGACATTATTCTGGTGATACATGCAGCTATCAAACGCAGCTTTCTCTTAATGTTTCCTTGTGAAAGAGCTATGTGACATAATGTTGTGAACTCCGTTTGAACTACTTGAGCTCTGGAGGGCGACGCCTCAGCTGATGTTCTGCTCTGGTCCACTGAAATGATTTCCAGGTTGTCGTCTACAGTCTGTCTCTGTAGTGGTTAGTGAAGAAAGCTGACTCCATCTCCGTCACCTGGCTCCAGATCAGTCAATGGCAAAATGTAACTGCCATAGCGTGTTTCTACCAGTAGGGGGCAGTCGCTATGCACCAGGACCTGAATACATCAACAGTACACCTAAACACCCATATCCACTGGGGTTCAGCTGTATAAAGGGGTTAGTTCATATTTAATATCATTTTACTATTTCCTCTTCTTCTTAAGGTGCTATTTGTTTCTCCTAGTACGGTGCCTGGGAAACTAAATCAAACAGTAACACTGTTACCCCATTAGCCAGTGTGCTCACTGAACACCAGAGCACACTGGTTAATGGATAACCTGCAGCAGGATGCTCCTTTTATAACAAAGCTGCTAGAAGCTCATTAGCAACAAGTCGTATTTTGAAAAGCCAGTTAGCTGTGGCAGCTGGGCATTGTGTTTGAGTCACAAGCAGGGTTTCCACATGTGCATACAATGATACAATGTCCAGCTGGGGACCCGGGCTGCACACTTCAATGTGCTTTTTAAGCTATAAACTAAACGATATGACTGTGTGATGAGTGCTGGTGGTAACATGTATGTATTATATATATATAATGTGTTATTTCAGAGCCTGCTATACAGCAGACATGTTTCCACAGCAGGTCAGCGGTGAAGACACTCACCCTCCAGATCTCCTCTTGCCCCCCCCGGCCTGGCACAGCTCCTCCCATCCTCACCGGACCACCTCCCACGGCCCCCGGCATCGCCACTGTGCCTGGCAACTCACTGCCCATCTCTGGAAGACAGAGCACAACATCAGGGTTAACGGAGGTATATTATTGTTATTTATGATTATGAAAAGGAGATAATCATGTCATGGTCTGTGTCCTGCTTTATTGTGAAAGCCTCTCCTCTTCCTGCCCTTCGCTGTCACTAGTTACTAGCACTCTTATCCATAATCTTGTCTTTTTGATTCTTTTGTGAGAAAAAAAGACAATTCATTCAACATTGTTTTATTATTTATTATTAAAAAGTCTTTCATGATCTTTTTCTTCTCTCTGCCATGATGTGTGTCTCACGCTGTCCTGAGCTGGAGTGTGTGTGTGTGTGTGTGTCAGAGTAAAGCACAAAGACAAAGAGATAGAGAGAGGAGGTTTGAGACGAGGACATCTCACTCTGGAACTTCTAAAGTACCGACAGCAGAACCGCATCAATGCGCCGGGTTTTTACTCCTTTAGAAGCGGGTTCCGGGGGCACCCCTCTCTGGTGCATTTAGTCAGTGTGTTTTCTGACGTTGACGTTCCTACGTTTGTTCCTCGTGTTCCCAGTGTGTCGTACTGGTTTGTCTTCAGTTTGGTTCTTTTTCTTCCCGCTGCCTTCTTCCTCAGATTTGGTTCCTGTTGTTTTTAGGTTCCAGCTTCTGTTATTAAAGCTGCTCTTTGTTTAATTGTACCTGCCGGCCTCCTCTCTGCATGTGGGTCCATCCTTCACCCCTGACAATCCAGATACGATTACTATGCTTGAAGTCCAGCACACCCTGCCTCAGTTTACTGACTGAAATGTGTTGAATGTAGTTTACCAAAGTGTTGAATATATGTTGAGGACTTTTGAGTAGCTTATGGCTACCTAGTCTCAACTATTTCAGTTTAATTTATTTCTATACATTGTTTTATATATTGAATATTGGGGGGGGGGGGGGCCACTGGTACTCAGTGTGCTCCGGCCGATTAATCCTGCTCCAGAGTAGTTTATATATCCGCCTTTAATCCTCTAACTCAGGGGTCTTCAACGTTTTCAGGCCAAGGACCCCCAAACAGATAGAGAGATGGAGCAGGGACCCCCGACTATATATATCGTATAAAATTGTGTTTTAAACTGGGCCTAGTGCCGTGTATAAACATACCTCTTTATTGTGCATTCAATACTAAGCTATTCTAATAATACACAGGTTCATATATCCATGTTTTTATTATAAACATGTGCAAGGTACAGTGAGTAGGGAGGCCGTGCCACTGCCATTTATAAACACACCTTGTCAGCTGATACCAATGCTAATATCAACATTGTCTGTCAATTGCATGATAATCATGCATACAAGCTATTCAAGCTGGTGTTTTCATTTTAAACATAAATGTGGAAACGAAAAATGAGTGATGGCCTATTAGTGCCACTGCCATGCATAAAGATACCTGTTATCTTTCATACAATACTATTAAATATTAAAATAATGGACACATTCATGTTTGGAGAATTTTTTATTTTTTTTTTATTGTCTAATCAACCAAACATTTCTGCTCTTACTTATGTACAATGTATCCTTGTAGCAGTTTTATTCTTGAAGTCACTGAGAGTTTAGAAAGACTTTTTAATTGTGCAAGTTTAGCAAAAATACAATTTTGCCTTTGTGTCTTTACATTATTGCAATATTAATGCAATGACATTTCAGTCATTTGATTTATTTAGTTAAATGAAGAAAAGTAGAAAGCTATTAAAGAGGATCATTACTGTTTGGCACGCATCACAAAATGTAAAATCATATACTGCCTATTTGTGTAAGAACATAAATGCATGATTCAACAGAATAAATGACCAATCCACAAAAACAGTCAGAAAATAAAAAGGCTTGTATCGACAATAGAGCAGTTGAAAAGCACAAGCCGGATCCATTCCTCTGTGAGAGCAGGAGCAGCTCATCTGTGAATGAAACATGACTTAGTCCAGAGCACTGACATCACAGTGGAACGTCATCCATGTCTGTTATGTCAGCCTCAACTTGAATTAGCATAAACATCTTTTAAACCTGGACCGTCATGTTCCATAGGACTGAGACGTGTGGCCCACACAGTGAAGCCTGGGCTGAGGTTTTAAATACACACATGTTCCAGCACTATGTGCACGTTCAGTAGTGACGACGGTAAAACACGTGTGTGTCACTATGGCTGAGAGGAATTATACCGTGTTCATCTTCCTCTCTTCTCTCTCAAAGGCACTATTGTCCTCCTCACACACCGATCCATTCTGTGTGCCTTGCTGTTTCCTCTGCACACCAACTCACTCAGATGCAACGGATAGGCCAAACAAACCCTCCGGTATGCCCCAGTGCACCCAGCAACATAGTTAATATTTGATACAGTGTGCATTCCTCCCCCTCCACGTCTTCCCAGAGAGGCACACTCACACTGCAGTGCAGGAGCAGCCGTCCATCATTCATTCATGAAGTGGGTTTGAGCAACACACGGCTCTAAACTAGTGTTCTGTGATGAGGAGACAGCTTCTTCATCTGACAATCAGCGCTCATTCAGCCTGGCAGGAACACTGCTGCCTTTCTACTACCAGTCTAAAAAGGCACTCTATATCACACAAATGTGGGCTATTACCCATGGTGCACTTCACCATTCACAGTGCTACACCTGTGCCATAAAGAGATACATTGGCATTTTAAAGAGAGTTCCATTATTCACCTTTTCTGCTCAAATATGAGAACATTGAAGCCCAATCCTCCATATGTGATGACCTGAATATTACGAGTGTGTCTCTGCTCACTAATCATCAACGTGGCTCTCACAACACACCACATCGTACTCTGAGCAGTGGCTGCATTAGACTTTCTCCACAGACAGGGTTGTAAAAAAGCACTCATAATCTAATATTACCCCTCATTTTCATGTTTCAATGATAATAAGACATTTATTGTAATGCAATAGCCTTGTTGTCACAATGTCCTGCTCGCTGTGCGTTCAGTGTTCACACTCGGCCCGGCTCTGGCACACACATGGACCGGATGTTCTACATTCAGAGCTCCTATTGGGGTTTCAGATGAAGCTTTCAATGCGTGTTAGTACAGCTGCCAGCCGTCCTTTGTGTGTGAGCAGCTTCTGACCGCAGTGAAAATATATATTTTTGAAAGGTTAAGCGCCAACAAATATGGATTGAGGCAGAATATTTTATAAAAACATGACACGATCACATCTATCTCTTTTCAATAGATTTGGGGTTTTGGACTGAGACAGCAGCACACACACATGTACTGTATGTGTGTGTGTTTTTAATAAGTAATATACAGGACAAGTCTACATCATGCATTTATAAGGCATGGAGAGAAAAGATGAGCAGAGACTCGACACTTTTCATGTCAGCGCACACAGAGCAGATGATGCTTTTTGATTTGTTTCGGACACACGGCTTCTCATGGCCGCTTGTATTCAGCCGCCTCACTGGAGACTCACCAGAATCCTGCAGCAGGTGCTGCTGCTGCACCGTTCTGGTACCAGTAGTGGTCTCAGACTAAATGACCGTCATTGTTAAAAGAATTCAGTCCATGAAAACATTGAGTTAACGCAGCCTCTGTTCATAGAAGAAGAACTTCTGGGCTGAGGATGATGTTGCGATTATACAAAATAAAAAGGAACTTTGGGTCCAGAGTGTCCAAATAAACTAGAATCTGAATGTTTTGCCTCGACAGCAGCGCTGGTATTGTTATCAGCGCGTCAGTCATCATGCAGGAACTACCACGGAGACAGGGTTGTGTCTGTCCGTCTGTCGACACATGTGCTCACCACTGGAGCGTACCAATACAATTCTTTTTTGGGATATCTTACTTTGAGGACAAACATGTTTTTCCATAAAACTCTTTAACTTAACAAATGTTAAATGTTGCCTAAAAAACAAGCCGCTGTACAAGAACTTTGAACTGGATTCAAGTTAAAACAGAAACAATACCGTCAGTCAGCCTTGCCATGTTAGCTTATTGCTGCCATATTGATATTGGCTTACTGTATGTCCTATAAGAGACAAGACATGTGACTCAGCAAAGACATGTGGAACCTATGTGTGTCCATTACATAGCACTAAAGCCACAGCTGTCTATAGCGTAAGAGGACCATCTCTGCATCCCTTTAGAAGCATCTTCTTTGGTGCAGGGTCTTAAAGGCACACAGCTACAGTGGATCACAAGCCTGGTTTGAACTCAGGCACATCTTCAGACAGCCAACAGCTAAAACGCCCTGAGGTGAAATGCATTAATGAGCCTGTGGAGGAACAATCAGTGCTCTCTGACAAGGTTGTTCTATTCCCTCTCTCTCGTCTGTCAACCGCCTCCGGACAATTAACATTCATATTCCAAAGGTAATACACAGAAAAACACATGCAGACATATATTCAAAGTAGTTTCTTTAGTATTTAAAAATTCTACTTATTTTCTTCACCTTCCGATTCCTCTTCCCGTCTCAATCTCTGTCTCTCTCTCTCTCACACACACACACACACACACACACGCACACACGCAGCTGAATAAACAAAGTACTTTGGATAAAATGGCAATATTTTAATATAGCCTCCACAGCGCTGTGCGTGTGTACAGAATAGGTGAAGCTTCCGAGCTTCATTCACAACGTTGACATCTGTATTCCGTTGCTTTATATCATTTGGAGGTAACTTTTGTGTAAAAAAGTTATTGTGAGAAATCAACTAAAAGCGGGTCAGATGTGACATAAACACCACTCGTCAGCTCGCTGTGGGTTGACCTCTAATTTACAGAAACTCAAGAGCGTTGTAAAGTCCAAAAATGTATTGAGTCAAAATAAATGTAATCATTTCCAAAATTCACATGTTTTTATCTAACAAAATGTTTTCATTGCGGTTTGCGCCACACAAAGGGGGCCGGCCCAGACCACTTATATTCACTACAATCCCATCAATCCATTCATTCAAATGGAGAACTTTTAAAAACGTTTTAGGGAAATGACATCATTAAATACGATGACAGACATTCACATGAATGCATTATGGGTGATGTTTAACTGGAGAGGTGCAACACTACTTGTATTTGACTTGAAGCGTTTGGTGCAGGACGTTCAGTTCAACATGCGTCATCTGCTCGGTACGTCCTGAGACCCAAACAGTTTAGGTCTACTAGTCGCACACCTGCAAACACAAGTTCTGGACCCGAGTGTTACCCAGACAGTTTGGGCAATTGCTGTCAGCGTCTGCTGAGTCGTGGCATGCTAGTTGGTTTGGCCTGTTAGCCGGGTTGAAAAAGCCACGAATTGCGTGAAACTTTATGCCAACAGTTAAACTGAAGTCGGGTCCATCTGTGGATTCACTTCAAACATTTAATTTACGACGACATCACCAGAATGTGTCGAAACCCAAACGGACTGGACGGGGATTGAGGCAGCCTCCCACTGCAGATCAGGCCCGAGCCACAGTCACTAACGCTAGAGCATCACTGTGCATGGGCGTAGGCTGTACAGGGTTAGAACACATGCCTGGAGGACTTGAGTGAGTTTTGTGCATTCCCTAATAACTTGTGGTATTACTACTAGAGATACCACTATATAGATATATCATCGGATTTTTGACGGATATGGCTTTCCAGTATTATAATTAGCAGATAAAGTAATAAGAAATGACCTGATACTTACAGTACAATAGAACACTTTCTGAACTGAATCAAAACTTTTCTATTAACACATTTTATACAAAATATTTTTTGTGATTTAGATGAATAAGCCAAAGTTTTAAAATGCACAAACCAGAGAAATCACAAGCGACAATTAGCATATCGATTGAGCTGCTGATTAGTTCTCCAGTTAATCAAGTTTCTTGTCTGGTCCGACCAACAGTCCAAGACTTTCTAATTCAGAAAAGCTGCAAAACCTCAGAAATGACAAGCATAAATCAGAGAATGTTTGGCATTTTGAATGATGAATTACTTGAGTAATTAATCGATTATTGGAAAAGTTGTGGATTGACTTTCTTTTGATTGACAAATCAATGAAAAGAGAAATCATTCAGTACTATTTTTCTGTAGATTGTGTGGTACTGAGATCCTCCTTGTCCTCTGAACACGCAGCCCTCATCAGGTCCTTTCACTTGTCAGGTTTCACGTGCTCTTACACCAATTGGATCTGGGTGAAGGCCAGCTGGAGATAATCCTGCAGTGACACAGCGTTCCCACATCCCCGGGTATCTGGTCTGAGGTCAACGCACCTGACCGCACCGCCATGCCATGGGAAACAGTAAGGCTGATCGCAGATCAGCAGGCTAACTTTGTCCTCCTCTGGCTACAGCAGCAACAGCAGCAGCATTAAGCATGACTTCATTCTAACTGGGTTTCATCAGCGCAGAGAGGAGCTGCACGTAGCTCTCACGGCACGCTTCCCTCAAACATCTGAGCGGATCGTTACATTGCAACAAACACAACATGAGTATAAGAGTAAAAGCAGCAGGCTGGCCCTGGCCTGGAGGCTTCCGTGCTGCTTCCATACGGTAATGTACTCTCATCTAGAATGTCCAACACACCGCCTTCACTTCTAACAAGAGACAGAGGGATCATTGGGTTCTGCCCTTCTTTTATCTGACAGGGTTATTTCCTCATCTGTACATTGTTCATTCCAACAACACCTCATCGCCTCACTCTGTATGCAGCCACGGTGCCATTAACCAGACAATTCTTTATTTATATTCCCTTTTCATTTACATTGCCAATGAGATGGCAGCGAGCGTGAGGGAGAGCATGCATGACATGTTTTCATATGGAGGTCTCAGTGGCTCACAGAGGAATCACTGTGGCACTCTTTGCTGGTCTGGACAGCTCCTTTCTTTTCTTTTACAGATAGAGAAGAAGAAGCTGCGGAATCTGAATAACAACAACGTTAAGGCACAACCACAGTGACATGCTACAGTAGGCTACATTGTGTACAATGACTTCATTCAACTGTAATGTATTAAGAAATTGACATGGCAGTTGACTCAGGACATATTAAAATGATGAAGTACATTATGTAAATAGGGTTTCATTATCAGGCTCATTGGAAGGTTTCAGTATATTTGCTCAGTATAATGTCTAATCTGGAGGTGAGTCATTCAATTAAGATGTGCTCAGAGTGAACACATTGCTGTTCGCTGTACAAACCTGTTCTACTAAATGCATAGAAGCGAAATCAACCTCAGCAACTCAGCACTGGGAGAACATCACGCCAGACTCTATTCAAACATTTAACAATAATGACTTCCTTTGTTTCTCCTGAAACGTACACCCCGCGCAGAGCTTCACACGGGACCTATCACATATTGACATCCAATTCTAGTAAATCGGCAAAGGTGTAAACAACCAAGGACCACGAAATTCTGCTCAAACCGAACTTTTATCAGCGGCTCCCGCAGTGATCAACAAGGACTCGGGCTCTGGAAGTTCACACAGTATTCACTGACGCGTTACTTGGTGTCTGGTTGCTCGATGCCGGACTGCACACTGGTTTTAAAAAGATCGTAAAATACTTAAGGTCCGTCAGGCCAATATCATTTAACGTTATTGTATTGTCAGATTTGTAAATAACTTACGGTTTAGCATTTCGCTCTGTCTAAGAAAGCGGTAACGTTACACACCGGGAGAAGAAACCCTTTCCGAGCAATAATGGATCAACAGGCGAGGAACAGAGACTCACAGAGACAGTGAGGTGTTCCACAACAACAGATGTTGAAATGTCACCGATGTAGCACACAACATGAAGGGCAATGCTGGAGGGCACCGATATGCAAAGTAACCTTTTGTATCACAGAGAGAGGAAAGCAAACGGTGAAATGAGCGCATAGGGCTAGCTTAACCAAGACAAGCAGAAGCAACACACGATGCCATATGCGAATAAATGTGCATCATAACACAACAACCACGTCGTTTAGACACGTAAGTTAGCTACAAAGCCGTGAATTGTGGCAATGTAGTGAGCGGCGGTTCAGTGGGGGAAGGGGGATGGATGCTGGAGAACAGGCTTCTTCAGCGGCCCTCTTCAGCAACAGTGTAAAGAAAAGCCAGCTCTCTACCTCTATTCTACACAACAGCAGCGAACATTCCGCTTCGTCCCCACCGACAGACCGGGTACCGACTTACCGGACGGGTTGACCGCGGCGGGAGTTGCCATGTTTCCTCAATGGAGAAAAATAACAAAACGGCAGCGATGGAGATGACGCACAATACGGCTAGAGTCCCCGTGAGAGAGCGTCTAAACTCCGCGGAATTGGCACGCGAGGCTCGGCCCAACCGCCTCACATCCGTCGACGCGGAGGAAAAGTAGTCTGGGTTCAGACGCCTAGAAAGCCGTTTTCTGTGCTCGTTCATTAGTGGTGGGGGGGGGGGAGCC